CCTGCCTCCCGGCCTCCATCCCTGCCTCCCGGCCTCCATCCCTGCCTCCCGGCCTCCATCCCTGCCTCCCGGCCTGTCTCCCGGCCACTATCCCTGCCTGCCTACTCTCCTCCCTCCCTCCCAGCCTTTCAGCATCCTTTCCTGTAGCAGTTGTTACTATCCGCCCTCCTCCTTCCCCGTTTCCCGTCCGCTCCCGTTGCAGTCGCGGCGTGCCCGGCCGGGGGCAGGCCAGGCCCGGCCATGCTGCCCTCCTTCAGTTACCTGACCGAACACACCGGCTTCCGCGGCACCATCAAAAACTCCCCCGCCGACTTCGTAGTGACAGAAATAGAGGTGCCCGAACGCTTCCTTGGGGACAGCGGGGCTGAACTGCCTCAGAAAACCAGCGAGGCGCTGCCGGAGCAAAGCGCCCCGTGCTCCCCCCAGCCCAAACAGCGACGAGCGGAGGCCCCCGGCCCGGGTGCCCCCCTGTGTCCCCGGGGGGCTGCGCCCGGGACCCCGGAGCGCGACCCGGGCCGGGCAGGGGGCGGCTGTGCTGCATCCTCTGGCAAGAAACAGCGTGAGGGAGCACCTGAACCGAAATCCGGCCTCGAGGAAGCCAAACTGGAGTCCTTACTCGGCAAACCCATGAGCGAACTGCTCAATAAGTTTGCTTGCGATCTGAAGGAAGCGTGGGGCTTGGAAAATAATCCGAGTGCTGGCACTAGGGAGCTCTCGCTAGGACTTAGGCTGGACAAGAAAAGTCGGGCTGATTTACACAGTGCTGTTAGGCAGACATTCCCCTTTTTAGTCACTGTTACCAAAGACAATGAAATGATTGTAAAAGGAAATGCTGATTACAGAGAACTTTGTCAGTTAGTGACTGAAAAGGAAACAAGTGATTTCTTTAAATTTTTAGATGCAAAGCTAGAAAATTCGACGTTTTCTTTTGAGCCTGATGGAAACAAAGAGCACAGAAAAGTAGTTCACCATTTTCTCAATAGAAAATTCGGAAAACTCTTAGAAACAAAGTCTTTTACTGTGACAGATGTCAATGATCAGCCAAATATGTCAATAATGGTACGGTTTCGAGAAAAATGTGGGTCCCGAAAAAGGTCTGCTGGTGGTTCACAGGAAAAACAAGATGTTTATACAGGTAAATACATTTTTACTGAAGATGGCAGGTATTATACTGTTCTGTAGTAAGACAAACTGAATCATTCTTCTATGACGTGTAGGCCCGATTGACTCATTGTTTATGCTGAAATAAATCATTATCAATGTAGTGTAGTTACATTACCGGAGAATGACATGGATGAAACAAGTTACTGCAGTGATTTTAAATGAACTGTTCTGTGATAATGGTTACAGTTCTTTTGGTTGTAGCACTAACTGTGGTATTCTCAGTGTGTTAACTTTCCCTTGAAAGTAATTGGGTGATGTTAGGAGGTGTATCTAGATGTTGGACAAGTTAGGTCAAATATGGTATATGATCTCATTCCTACAAGCAGTTGGTTTCTGATTTAGAGAATGTTTCTAGAATTACATCAATGCATGTCTTTTGAATTGTGTTGTTTAAAGGCAGCAGGGTTTTCTGGTTGTTCTAAGTTCTGTGTACTGTGTCTTCTTTCTTTCTGTGCTGAAAAAGTCCCATTTCCTTTATTTTTGTGGGGTGGGAGGACTATTTCTTTACAGTTTCCATGCTATTACAGTTTGAGGGGAAGAACCTGCCCATCTATCATGACAGAACACCTGTATGATTTAGAAGTGCAAATTCCTAGTAATTTTGAGATGATTGTTTCAGCTTTCACCCTTCAGAAAGAAAATCTAGAAACACTAGAAGCAATTGGCTTGTTGGCAGCAGAACTCGATGTTCTTCCTTCAGACTTCAGTTACACTGGCATCAAAGATAAGAAGGCTATCACTTTCCAACCTATGGTTGTGAAGAAGGTGACTCCTGAGAGGTACTTCGAATCGGAGTGCGTTCAGTTTAGCACATAATTTTATATGTTAATAAGTATCAATCCGGTGCAATGTTTTGAAATGTTTTTACTGATGTGTCTTCCCTTTGCCTGTATTGGAGGACAGTGGAAACGGCTTTAATATTTTGTGGCTTTAGGGAATATGTAGCTTAGCAGTGAAGTCCCCCAGTGGGGAACTTGGAGAAAAGTGTTACCTTTCTCTGTATTTTTTGTAATGAAAATATACTGTGTTGTCTGGGACAGTATTCTTGCAATTCATGCTCATGGGATCCACTTTACAATTTCTGAAATACCATCCACTACCTGGAACTGAGAAGAAGCCTGTGCTACAGGAGGCAACAGGTTTCCACATACTGTCAAAGTATTGTCTTGTAATCCCCAGACAACAGCTTAAATGCATTATAGTGCTACAAAACTAAAGTAAATCATTACAAGTGTACTTTGGACAGATGCTGTCTTTGAGTGTTAAGTATCAACTTCTGCCATATTGTCCAGTTTAGAAACATAGGACTAAATAAAGAAGATATCACCAAACCTGAGGGAAGGAAATACATTCTGAACAATGTGTTAGTAATACAATATGTGCCTTTCCATTCCTCATTTTTGTTACTTTTTGTAGCCAAATGAGTGAGTAAAAAAATATATATTAAGTTTGCCATAGTAACAGAAATAAAATTCTTAAGTCCAAACCATAACTTATTTCTTCCTCAGCTTTAACTTTCTAGTGGGCTTTGTTCATAGCAACAAAGTGCACTTTAGGAATGAAGAAAAATGGAATTTATGGTTTCAGGATTTATTACTAACCTAAGTATACATCAGTGGTAAAATTCCACTGCAAACTGGGCTGTAGGGCCAATTGTCCAAGAGATAATTAGCAAAACTTTGCATTAGTGTTTAAATGACGAAGCAAAATAGGTAAATGTATTCAAACCACTACTGCAACAGAATGAATAAATAAATTTTATAAATAAACAATTTATAAAGTTATTAAAATACCGCTTGGAATGTAAGATTTTATGCTGAAAGTTTCCTTTAATTTGGATTACTCTTTTTTACACAGAAGAACAAAGAGGTTGATTGGATATTTTAAAGGGCACATACTCGAACTGTCAGCTATGTTTCCAATTACAAGCATATGTGAGCACATCAGAGAATCAATGTGCAGGGAAATTATGTATTAGAGGGGTTTTCATTTGTTTTGGTTTTTTTTTTACATGAAAATAAGGTTTTTAGAACTGAAAAGCAAATAAATGACTTGTTTTTCAAAAAAAAAAGTTAAAAATTCAGGGTAGTTACCTTGAGAAAGTTCAATGAATTGCTTCATTCCAATATATGTCAATATCATATAAGTGCAAATGATGCAAACATTTAAAAATATTTCTGGATTATAACTAAATTTTAAGACTTCCATCTCTGTATTTGTTTTGGCTTTCTCATAATAGTCTGTTTTACATCCCATTTTATTTTTCAGGAGCTTTTTAGTTCTAATGCAAAGGTGAAGAAGATATTTATTACAAGTTGGATAGCTTTAGTAGAGGATTGTTTGTAATTTCTCCCACTTATTTATGTAGGTTGAAAGAAATTGGAAACAAAATGGAAAAAAAGGGCATGAGAATATACAACATACGTTCAACGTACCAGCACCTCAGGCTCGGTCAGCTGAAAGGCAATCACTTTGACATAATTGTGAGAGATCTCCAAAAGCACAGTCATGACCCTTCTGCAGATTTAAAAAAAAGAATATCTGAAGCAATGGAAAATGTTGAGGTAAGAAAAACCTCGTGGTTGCCAATAATGAACAGTTTTAATTCTTTGCTGTTAAAAAAAATGCTTTTAAGGAAAATGCTTGTAATAGCACAATAATGGCAATATTTCCTAAGTTTGATGCTTCTTGTGTTTTTATGTCATTCCTGCATTATTTATGGAATCAGAAGTAAAACTGCCTTTCAAGAAGGGACCACAAGTGAATTCATTCTGTGTTATGGACTACAGACCGCAGAGTGGTGCAGCAAAAGACATGGGGAATTCAGTAGCAAATGAGTATGGATATATGAGCCATTGCTGCACAGACCTGAGGCTAAAGTGATGGATTTCACTGCAGGATTTGAAGGGGGAAAGAATATAGTTACTCATGTACACAGTACATATGTCAACTGGTTGCCTTCTTTGGTCGTGTGAGGAACATACACGGTCTGCTTGGGTGAAGAACTTTCATGGCATGAACACACATAAAATGCCCATATCAGAGAAAGAAGATCCCTTGAAAATCAATGGATTTTGATTCTGTTATCCTTAGTCCCTGAAGAAAACTCCGTCATCAGACATTCTTAAACCACTAAGAAAAATAAAAGTAAATAATGGAAAGGAAAAACTGTAGGTGTTTTTTACAAAATTGATTTTCTTGCTCTATCTAAGTAATAACTATAGTACAATTTACTTTAAGAAGATTAATCCAGGAATAAAGTCTTGAATGAAAACTATCCAGTGTGCATAAGCAAAATACATTACATGTATTTTGGAAATTAATTTTATTATTGAAAAAAGCATTCAACCAGTACTGTAATGCTTTTGTCTCTCTCTGCTCCATCTGACTTGTTTTGTTTTGCTGTTTGGAAAATGAAAACAAATTCCTACGATTGTGTGTCTTGCTTTATTAGATTTGCCTTACTGGTCACGTGATGAATGACGAAACAGGATGTGTATTAATCCAAACTGTGGATTTTTCACCTTCCATGAAAGCAAAATTGCGTATGGGACCTATGAATGTCCAAAGCAAGGTTATATAATTTGAATTGAATAACCATTTCCAAAACAAATACCATATGTTTTTTGCTTGTCTACTCCATGTATACTTACTGTTTTCTAGAAAATGGTGTTCTCATTGGGTCACGTGACTGGGGTTTTACTTCTCACGTGTGCCCTAGAACTCATCAGAAGATTTAAAATCCCAATTAGCAGAAGTATTCACTCTTGGCCTTTATATTACAATAATTATAGAAATTATATAATGTGGAAAGAATTAGTATTTTTAAGAAAAAATGTCCAGCAGTGTTTACTGTTCATTGCCTGTGCTATGCTGCATTTGCCTGAGTAGCGATTTTGTAATCCAATGCATATAAAAAGCTCGATTATTTTGACTTGACCTGTAGTTGTATTTATTATAATTAACTATATAGAAATAATATTGTTTCACTTAGCTGAGTTTTTTTAAAGATGCGAAGACAACAGTAGAACTTGATTGTCTTTTCAGATGTTTCTAAGTTAAGTTCTAAAATATTGTAATGAATCATGAGTAATGTTTTTATGTATTATTTCTGATTTAAAAACCCTGTTTATATGCATTTGGGATATAAATATCGATGTGTGTGTTGTATGCATAGTGTTACTAATGGTACTTGATACTTTCATGCTTTTAACATATTTATTCTTTACCATTCTAGACAAAAGGTTTTGTAAATTACTACGGACCTCAGCGATTTGGACAAGGACAAATTGTTCAGACAGATCAAATAGGATTGGCTTTACTGAGTGAAAAAATGGTACTTCCATTTTGTAATTTAAATAGTTACTGTCAAGACAATTTCACATTACTGTTGCAATGTCTAGGGCTAGAGTTGTCCTTTCCAGTGAACAATTTCATTTGTGAGATAAACCCACCTGTGTGCTGGAAGCAATTGCCAGATCAGTTTTGATAACGTAAGCATGAAGATCTTCATACTGAAATAAATAATCTGTTTTTAAACAGCAGGTGCAGATTTAAATAGTTCAGGAAGTGATTTTTCTGTCTGTGATTGGAACGTGATTACGATTGTCTTCATGCCACTTGACAGGAAAGTGGTTGCATTCCATTCAGGGTTTCAATACTGAAATGAAGCAGTCTTTATACAGCGTTTATTCATGGTTCTGATTGCCTCCTAACTTTGAGCTGGACCTCTTTATCCTGCTTGGGGTCTGTTTACTTCTTAAAAAAGTCACATAGGTTCATAAGAAACAATTTGCTTTTTCAATACCATGGTAATTTATCTGCTATATAGAAAAGATTGCTGCTTTCCATTATTCCTTGGCTACTTTCCCAAACTCAGTTCTGAGTGATGTAAGCTAAGGAGAGCTTATTTCTTAAGTAATAATTCATAAGATAAATGTACTTTTCAATGTATATGATACAGTACTTGGCACAGATCTAAAGACAAACCACACACTACAAAGTCAAAAGGATACCTGAGTATCCTGTTCTTCTAATCTTGTTTTGATTCTAAGAAAAGTCAGGAAAACTTATCTTCCAAATATAACAATCAAGATTTGAGGGCAGTCAATGAAAGTTAGTGTTGATGTATCTGACATTTTGAATTCTGGTATGCTGGCAGTTGGTACCAGGTGCCAGTCCCTGGGTAGTAATGTTTTAAATCTCTAGTCTTAACTCAGTTACTTTAATTTAAAACAGGTAGGAACTACTACTTATATTAAAAATGTGCCACTATGTGTTTGCACAGTCCAATATGGAGGAGGACAAGAACCAGATGTCACAGGTCAGTATAAGTGTAAGCAAATTGAGTGGCTCCACTGATGTTGCAAGTAGCAGAGATTACTGTAGTGTTTTCCTTACCACAGTGTCATCGAACCTGATATAGATCAGTATTTAAAAAAAAAAGGAAAAAAAAAAGGAAAGATGATTGTCCCTCTGTATGAGACTGTGGAAAATGTTCAGTCTAAATTTTGCATGAAGCATGCAGGAGGGAAAGAAGGGCCCTTCCTGTTCAGGATAGAAGGACGACAATTTAAAGTGGAGAAGTTTTAACTGGATGATCAAGAAGAGTGACTGATTTTTCACAGAACTTTGAAAACTGTCTTGTGTCTTCTTGATGACTAAAACTTGCCTTTAATTTGAGAAAGAACACAACACATTGATCTGCAGTTCATGGCATTTTCTGTGATAGGGAGAATTTGACTTTGCCCTTAAAGAACAGATACAATTTTGAGACCTTGCAGAATATATTAAGACAGAACTGGATGCATGATTGTCTGTATAGTTGACAAATAGTTATGTTTAACTGCAAAAATTATAAATTTTTAATATTCTTCTTTAAAGGTGGAAGCTGTGAAGTTGTTCTTCACACCTGAAGATACTGATGATCCTGTAAACAATGCAAAAAGATACTTTCTTCAAACTGGTATGTCCAGTTAATTTGTCCACATATTTATTGTGAGAGAGTAAGGTGTTGCTGCACAGGGAGATACTTTTTATTTTCCCACTGCTTTATGCCACTTATACTTTATTCTGTGGAAAATTAATGTACTTCAGGTGCAAGACAGTATAGAAGCAAACGCTGTATATCACAATGCTGGAAAAGACTAAGATCATTTTATCAGAGCATTTTTGGCCTCCTTCCATCTGTCTGCTTTTGGACTATAAACTTATCGTCCCTAATAAGAGAAGTATACAGAAATGTGGTACCCAACTAATACTCAGCACTTAACACATGTACTCTCTTTCTGTCTTGACCTAAAATCAATAAAATACATCAAAAGCAGAAGTATGCTAAGTTCTCTGTTTGCCATATTTATTGCTTTTGTCATTCAACTGAACTTTCTGTCCAAAACTAAAAATTTGGAGTTGCTCTCAACTTCAAATATATTTTTTCTTTTCAAATATCCCACATCTGTTAGCCTGCTTACCTATCTATCAGTAGATTGATAGAACAACTATGATATATAGCTTCAAATGACACAGATATGTTTAATTTCACAAGAAAATATAAGACGAATCACTCTTTTTTGTACACTGCTGTATGATGCATGGAAAGACATTGATGTGGACCCTGAAAGCAGCTGCTTGCCTTTTCCTGAAAGCAAAAGGTAAAAGGCTATGCAAAAGGCCTCATCAGGTAATCACTTGTAATGAGAAAATATGTAAACCATAACATTTTAAATATACAACATTGGAATAATTTAGTACGAATCTGATTAAATGTATTTTCATCTTGGTTGAGGCTCAGGCTTCCCAGTGGCCAATGTAATTTTTGCCTCTAAAATAAAGACATGATGCAAAGTAGTGGCTTAATGTTCTTTTATAGCTTAGTTTTTACTTTGTTACCTGATCTAAAAAAAACCTTAGGAGTGATGAAATAAGTTTCTAAAAAAAAAAAAAGGCAAACTAGACTGAATAACTGAATGACAGGTATTTTAATTTATAATGCATGAAATAATAAAATTCATGGGACTGTTGATAGCCATATTAGATGAAGTTTGTCTAACATGGCATGTGGAAGGAAAGGAAATAATAACCTAATGGCTTAAAGAGGTTAGACTGATACGTTTTTCCCTACTTGATTATTTCATCTTCTTAAGTGTATTTTTTTCCCTCAGGTAATATTTGAAAAATCAGGGATTACTTACATGGTTATTTTTGTTTATATCAGAAGATGCAAAGGGCACGCTCGTGATGCTGCCAGAATTTAAAGTAAGAGAGAAGATGTTGCTACGAGCTTTAAATCGCTATGGTGTAAATCGTGAAGGCTGTACCAAAGGATGGCTCAACATTCCTCATTCCTTGCGCATATTCTATGTCCATGCTTATTGCAGTAAAATTTGGAATGAAGCAGCATCATACAGGCTGAAGATTTATGGCTTAAAAGCAGTTGAGGGTGATCTTGTCCTCTCAGAAGAAAATGATGAAAGCATTTCCCTAAATGACAAGGTGAGTCTTCCCAAAGTAGTTTCTTGTAAAAACAAACAAACAAACGACAAACCAACCAACCAAACAAAAACAAGACAAACAAACAAAAACAAAACAAACAAACAAAAACCAAACCAACAAACAAAACCAAACCAAACCAACCAACCAACCAAACAAAAACACAACCAAAAAAACCCACAGACAAAACAAAACCAAAAAACCCCAACCAACTTAATACACTTGAATGCATACTCAGACATATGCTAATACCTTTATTTTGGTTCATTCATTAAAATATTTAATGTTAGTGAAAACATTGAAAAACATGTAGCTTTTTTTGTTGTACCGTAAACAGACATAGGAGCTAGACATATATTAGGTTTTATCTGTTTTGGCTGTTCATTTTATTCAAGAGGGAAGAAGGAACAGAATTTCAGAATTGATACATGTGAAAATTTATGCTCTTCTTAGGATCTGACTGGGGAAACCCTTCAGAGTGGACTCTGGGTGTGCCTGTGTTACCAGTCAGTGCAGATCTGAGTCTCACTCTCAGCTCAGGCTTTCCCATTATATATATTGCTGAGTGTAAACCAGTGGTGAAAGGTGGCCTCAGATTGAACTGGTAATCTTGTTGCAACTAAAAAGGCAAAGCATGGTTAGCACAATTTCACTGATAGTGGGTCTAAACTATTAGCAGCTATTCTATGTAGAAAATGTAGCAGTCTTCTTGGGAAAGTAGTAAGGGGCCAGGAAGTGCTTCTGCTTGCCCACAACACAGCCTGGAAGCTGTGCATGGAGCTGTGGGTGAGCCAATGAGCAGAATCCAGCACTGGAGTGTCTGGTCCCAGGTTTTGGCATGCTGAAGTCCATTCTGAAGCCATCTTTTAGGGTTGGCATACCTTTTTCTTACTATGAAAGCAGTTGGGTCTCTTTTCCCAAGTAGCAACTGATAGGACAAGAGGAAATGGCCTCAAGTTGTGACAAAGAAGTTTAGATTGGGTATTAGGAAAAATTCTTCACCAAAAGGCTTATCAAGCACTGGAAAGGCTGCACAGGGAAGTGGTTGAGACGCCATCTTTGGAGGTATGTGATGAAGCTTTCGTTGTGGACTTGGTGGTGCTTGGGTTTACAGCTAGACTCAATCTTTTCCAACTTTGATGATTCTATGATTATATCTTCCTCCTGATCATCAGATAAATCATAGAACTGTGCACTGTTTTACTGGAGAATTAACAGGTGTGTGAATAGGCAGAATGTAATAATTTCTTTTGGGTGAAGCTCTTACAAATTTGAAGGCAAGAGCACTTGGAAGATAACCTCCAGTCCCTATGGAGTGGCTTCTGTTTCCACTGAGATTTTTCTTTAACAATATTTTTGAGAATGAATGTTAATAAAAGAGTAGATCAAATGAAATTAAAAGCAGAGGTATCAAATTCAGTGTTGAGTTACTGAGTTTTATGTAGATATATTCCTATTTAATGTTGAACGTTTTTCTTCATATTTTTGCTTTTGCTGCTGCAAAAGGAGTTGCATTGACTTAGTTAACTTCAGACTCAAAGAATATTAGTGGTAGCTAGCATCAGTAAATATTTAATGCAATACCATCTATCAGTAAACTGATTATATTAAACTTATCCTAAGATTTTTTCCATACCTGAAAGAGTTTATTGTCCTTGTAGCAGTCAAATAACCTTAGAATCCTTTACAAGTTTGGGAGTACAATGTATAATTTCTAAAAAACAAGTATATGTTTTTACTTTTTAAAAAGTGGGTGCTTTTTTCTAAACTTCTTAAATGTCTTGTCAGGTTCATGTAGTCACTGCTTCAGAAGAGTCAGCTAGAAAGTATTCTATATACCAGGTAAGTCTGTATGAAAAATTCTGAGTTATCTCTTTATTTGATTAAAATGTTTTGTTTTAAATAAAATGTGATTAATTTAACTGATGTATTCTTCTTCCCTGCCAGAATGCATATTAAAGAAAACACACGTAAACTAATCTCCACTCTCATAACAAATTTACTTTGTAATGGAAATAAGTACCGTGTCATTTGCAGTATGGCAATATTTATCATGAAGCTGAATACTTTGAAAAAAATTTCAGTCTGCTGGCAAAAACTTTCAAAAATAGTTGATGTTCTAATTTTTGAATGTTTCAGAGTGCGTACTTTTGTAGTCTTACGTGGCAGCTGAATGTCTTTATTGCTGTATCTTTCCCAACAAAAAAGGAAATTATTTTTAATATATTCCTAGTTTGTTTTAGGAATCCTGATACATTGATTATTTTTTCTGCATTAATTGCATTTGAGATACCTGCAGTGCTCTGGTTTACTATTTCAGGCCCTAAAACACAAGGTTTAAAAACATTTGAAATTGTTATTACATGTATTTAAAGAAGAATGGATGTTACTTCAAATATGTTTGTTGTTTTATTTTTTTTCTTTGAAGGTGGTTCTTCCAATGGTGGGACATAGTATCAAGTATCCCAGTAATAAAGTTGGAGAGTGGTACCATGAAAGACTTTCTAAGGATGAACTGGAAATGTGCAAATTCAGAGTGTCACCATTACAGCTGAATATACCTGGATGCTATCGACTCATTTTGAAAAATGTTCAGAATCTGTCATATTTTTTGGAAGGTGGTGAAAAAGGGATCAAAATTGAGGACAACCATCTGAATGATTTAAAAGTCTCTCTTCACATATCATTTGACCTTGATCCTTCATGTTATGCAACGGTCTGTCTGAGAGAAATAATGAAATGTGACTTTTAAGATTCCACTTAATGAAAGATTGCAGGAATGTTGTACAATGTTTATATTTTATGTGTAATGCCAAGAACATAAGGGAGAATAACAGGTTCAAATCATGAACAGGAAAAAATTGTAGTTTGAGATTCATACAGATTAGGAAAAAAACTCACGCAAATCCTTTGGAATACTCAAAAAACTATCCAAACTCTAAATGCCAAGCCTTGAAAGCATTGGAGTAAAGCTGTATGTTATATCAGGCAGGTCTAATAGAACTTAAAGAAACCATGGGCAGCTAGCATGAATTTCCTCTTTGCATAGATATCTGACTTGCAGAGTTAAATCCTGGAAAAGTATTTGCAGCAAACAGATGTATCTTGTTTTTCATAGTATTTTTCTTTAATGTTTTACACTAAATGCTGTTCAAGTAATAATGTTAGAAGTTTGCAGCCTACAGGTATCTAACTGAAAAGTTATTGTACTGAGGTTCGCTAAATATATTGTATTTTCATTTTATTTAGGCACTTAATGTTAAAAGATAAAAGTCCTTAGTCAACAGTGACAAGTCATCTGTTGCTTTATCAGACATTCAATGAATCTCCCAACTTAAGTCAATGTTAAGGATTCCAGGATTAAGTAGTGCATAGTTGTTAATGCCTTTTCCAGTAAGCTCCTCAAGATGAGGTGAGTACTTAACATCACTGAAAAACCAGTAATAATAAAACCAAAACTATGTTATATTGTTTACAGGATAAAGAGTCTGTTCCTGTTACTGTGAAGCCTTATGGTAGCACAAAAAATATTAATTGAACCAACTGTGGGATAAAAAAGCTTTTCTTTCTTGATTAAAAATAAAAGGCCGTTAACTGTGATAAAAATGAGTGGATTTGTGAAAGAGGGGAGAACAAAAAACCCATAATTTACCTTGACTTTAGCAAGGTGTTCGGCAGTGTCCCACAATATTTACATTGTGAAACCAAGTTAGGACATATTGGTTTGGATGGGTGGACAACCACATGGGTAAAAAAGTGGATGATGAGGTTCAGGGAGTAGTGATTAACAGGTCATCCTCTACCTGGAGTGAGTGTCACTGGGATATCTTCTGGGCCCCATCCTGTATAATGTCTTTGTCAGTGGTCTGGACAAGGGAATGGAGTTCACCTTCATGACTCTGAAGGTGACACCAAATTAAGGGATCAGATGGATATTGTGGAGGATCAGGCTGCTGTTCAGGGCAACCGAGACATGCTGAAGGAACAGGCCAGCAGGAACCATACAACATTCAGGAAGAACAAATGCAAAGTGCTGCCTGTGGGAAGGAAGCACCCATGCAGCAGCCCAGGCTGGGGAGCAGCTCTGCAGGAATGGCCCCAGGAACCTAATGGGCAGCTGAACAGGAGCCAACTATGTGCCTTGGCAACAAGAATGACCAACAGCCTCCTGGAATGTGTTAACAAGGGCACAACTAGTAGGTCAAGGGAAGGTATTACATCTCATTGTTCAGTAATGGATCTCATTGGATCACATTTAACCTCTACATTCAGTTTTGGTCCCCAGCACAAGAAAAATAAACAACCAAGCTCAGAGGAGGGCCTCTGAGCTATTACGGGACTGGAATCCTTGCCATTGAGGACATGCTGAAGGAACTGTGCCTCTTCAACCTGGAGAAGATACAGCTTGGGGGGGAACCAACAACAGCTCTCCAGTATCTATGAGGAGGTTAGCAAGAAGATGGAGCCAGGCACAGTGTGGCAGGAGGTGTTATGTTCCACTCTGCAAGGCAGAAGTAGCTTTTTTTCTACTAATAAATCCCTTGGGGTGAATTAAAGTAAATCTAAACCAGATAATCAGTGTTTACAGATATATATATATATATATATATAACATATATATATATATATAAAAACTATATATATAAACTATATATAAAGTAAACCCTACATATATATATATATATATATATAGGGTTTATTTTAAAACAATTTGATTGCAAAGGAAAACAGGTATGTAGCTGTTTGGTTGTTATTATATATAGTAATATGGCAATATAAAAGCATAAAGGTATCACCCAAAAAATGTGTAAGGGAAAAGAGAGAATAAAAGTTCCTATTCACCACCCAGAGGTCTCTGGTGGTTGTTACTGGTGTCTTGGTCCATCAGGGAGTGATTGGGGAAGAAGCCTGCAAAACATGAAGTCTGGTGGGTTTATATACCCTCAGAAACCCTCCTGGTACCTTCCCTGTGTGTGGGGGGGGTGCTGCTGGTTTTGCACAGTCTTGCTGGCTTTGAAGGAATAAGCCAGAGGCTGGAGGTGCTGGCTTTTCCACATTCATTTAGGCTGGAGGAGGGTGGTGTGCGTGCTTCAGAGGCATCCCCTGCTAAAAGCGGGGCCTTCTCTGGGGTAAGTGGGGAGTGTGTGCACTGAGGGCCTTTTTTGAAGTAGTCTGGCTTGTAGGAGATAAGCATCACACACCCAGAGACACACCTAAAGACTTGCCCCCAGGCCTCCACAAAGTTAGCAGTTTGTAGGCTATGGTCTCCTCCCCTCAGCCTTTGTCTTCAATCTCCTGGCAGGAGGCTTCTTTGCACAGCTTGCTACAGCAGCAATGTTTTAAGGCAATTCAAAAATCCAGTTCCTCACAGGAGAATAAGAGATAATGAGCATAAAGTGAAATGAGATTCAGATTGGTTAAAAGGAAAGACTTTTTCCCTGGGAGGACAGTCAGGCAGTGGAACAGGTTGCCCAGAGGCTGTGCAGCCTCCATGTAAGGAGGTTTTTAAGACCAAATGGGACAAATCTCTGAGCAACTGTCCTGGTCTCAGCTAGGGTGGGATTAATTTCTTCTCAGTAGCTGTTCAGTGCTGTGTTTTGGGTTTGGGTTTTTTGTAAATTGTGTTTATCTTAAGAACTTTTTTCTTGACTTATGGACTTCCTGTGAGGAGGTATGCAAAAGAAACGGGGGGGGAGCATAGCTAAGACAGGTGACCCAAATTGACCAAAGGGATATTCCACACCATAGAACATCATGCCCAGTATACAAACTGGTGGGAGTTACTCAGAAGGGAAACTGAACTGGGCTTGGGAAGGGGTGTCTGGCATTGGACAGCAGGTGATCAGCAATTGCATTTTGCATCACAGGTTTTCCCTTTTTATTATCATTATTGTTATAATTTTCTATTATTACTGTCTTTTACTGTATTTTCAATTATTAAACTGTTCTTATCTCAACCAGTTTTACTTTGATTCTCCTCTCCATTCCACTGGGGTGGGGGGGAGAAAGGGGAAGGTGAGTGAGCAGCTTCCACTGCTGAATTTCTAACTGGGCTTAAACCGTGACAGCAACCAGAGCTGAGCTCAGAGGCAACCCTGTTTTGTGGAGGCAGGGACCAGAGACCTCTTCCAACATTGCCCTGCTATCGTAAGCACAGTATTGCAAGTGTTTGTTCGACCTGTAGATGGCAGCATGACTTTAAACTGAAATGGGAAAGTCTACTCCTTTTTCCTGACCAGGAATTAATAATATAAATTGATTTCTGTTTATGGCATCCATTTTTCAATTTATGCTAACAGCTCAGTATGATAAATTTCTCAAGCTTGAGAATTATATTAATAGGAAAAATAGAAATATAGAAATATAATTCACATAATCTCAATACTTGTATAAAACTGTGTAGCAAATGAAGGATCCAGATAATTCCATACCTTAAAAAAGGTGATTACTCTGTAAGTCTGTATCAGTAATTCAAAATTCGATCCTTAGCTTTTATAGGGGGAAATAGACTGCCGTGCAAACAATAGCTGCAGTGTCATTATAGGTGAAGTGCAATGCTTGCTCTATTACTGTGCTTAATCTACCTCAAGTTTATGGTATGCAGGCAAACTGATGGAAAAATCCACTTCCCTGCCATAACCCATCTGAGACAGCTTTGTTCCTGTCTTTGCTTTTCAGTATCACCTCTTCTGTCTTCCACCTGCCCTTAAACCCTGCCCCCCTTCTGGAAAATTATTTTTAACTCAAGTAAAGCTGGTACAGCAGAGCTCAAAAAGAGTTGTCCTGTCAGCACTGACATGGTAAAGTGCTCCAGTGCAGACAGAAAGCTGCATGCAGTTACAATGACCAGAAGAAATAAAGTAGCACTGAAGTTCTCTTTAAAGAGACTATTCTGGTCATCTTCCATGTGGCTCAAAAGAGGCTTGAAAACCATCTCATCACATACAAGATTTGAATACAGGAAGTATTAAAAGTTGAGCCTTGATTTGGAAAAACACAAAAGGTTAGACTAAAAGGTCTTTTGATTGAAAGGCATGCCATTTTAAAATAAAAGATCAGAAGATGGTGTTAAAAGAGTTCACCTATAATCATTTTAGGCTCATTTGTCAGTACTTCTATTGAACACTAAAAGGGCTAATCTTCTTAAGCAAATCATTCTTTCAGCAACTTTAAGGTGGAAGAGCTAATTACGTGTGCCCATGGGTTAAATTCCTATAGCAGAAATGTTCTGCCAGGGAAAAGTCAGGTGAGCTGTTAGAATGCTTATATGATAAACCTCTTTTTTATTTCAGTGGGCATTTATTGGTAATTCATTCTCTTAGTCCTAGCAGCTATTTTGCAGAATTCTGTACATGAGCAGCTGAATTCAGAGAGTTCTGTATGAGCTCCCTAGGTATAATTCATATAAGCAAAACATCTGTGCTCCTGCATTTAGAAAAGAAGATTATCGTGGTGCACTGATCTGAGTTCAAGGAAAAGATTCATGTGTTAGTCCTCTCATTTTACTAAGCACTTTTATTGCTACCATCCTTTTCTGATAAGCCTTAAAGTACTTTGCTAATACTAATGAAGACAGGTCTCTGATTCTATTCCTAACAAAAGGGTTTTAAAGTTCAATGGCTGGTTGATTTTTTTCAGCACAGATAGATAATTGGGCATTTGAATGGGAGAAAACACAAATGTTCCTAATCTTTAAAATCCTTTCACTTTTAATTCACTACAAATTTGACAACTGGTATTATCCTCAATGAGAATGTACAAATTTTCAGATCTTTCAGAATGAGATGGCTTAAAATTACATTCCTATCATAAAGACAGTTCAGAAGCCAGGTAGATGTATGATTATTGGCCCCACTCACTCATTAAAGCTCCATTAACTCCTCTTAGTGCCAGTGCCTGTCAGCTGGTGATTTGACCTCTTACACCCTGGTGATGAGGATAAACCTCTTTTCCTTTCTCTTGCAGAACTTCTGCCCATAATAGATGCTCAAGGTAACAAGCTGAGAAACTATTAACACTTTCCTTTCCTTCAGTCCGAGGTCATGCCTTGCAGCCCATTGGGTCAGATCT